CCTATGATGTTAGATGCTTTTCCTGTAAGCAGAAAGTGGACTTCGTTTTCTGATCCACTCCTCCACTCTATCCAGTGGACTGAAATATATGAATGTATAAGGTCAGTGAAGTCTGGTTGTTTCATTCATTGGTTTCAATATGAAGAGTGTGTTCAGCAATATTGCATGGCTGCATTAGTGTCTGTGCATTTTTGGGTTCTGAAAATTAGAACTGACATCAGACAATGGGACTTCCTGACATGAGACTGGATTGGAGCCTGAGGCTTTCTATCCTGAGCTTTCATGTACATTCTTTGAAGGGAAAAGTACATAATTTGAACTCGGGGAAAACAAAAGAATTATCTAAATTTTGGTGATAAACATGGTTGTGATACATTTAGAAAACACTTTCTAAAGCATTGAGAAAAGAATAAATTTGTGAGGGCACTGCCGGAGTTTGACTGAGCGTGCCCACCCAGATGCCTTTCCTGTGCACAGGTGAGTCCATCAGTGCACCCCGTCCCTTTCCGCCCCAGCTCCTGATTGCCTGCCACCCAAACATCTCCGAGGTCATTGCAGGAGTTCTGCCTAGCGCCCGCCCAGTCCCCACCTTTCCTGTGCACAGGCCCTTGGGCCCACGCCTGTGGACTAGCATCAGGAGAGGCTGGGGGTGTGGTCTCCACTGCAGGGATGTGGCCTTCTCAAAAGTGGGCGTGGCCTTCTTTGAGGCCAGCGGCTACTCACATGGCTGGAGTTATATTTCCCACTCCCAGCAATCTCCATTCACATCCCAATCCTTATCACCTAATTCTGTGGGAAAACTCCTGCCTGCCTCAAACACAATACAACAATAATCCACCAGCCTACTTCAATTCCAACAAAAGACCAGTGTATGCAAGAAGCTGCTCAAGCCCAATATAAAAGAGCACTTTTTCCAACACTTCACTAGATGCCAATCGTAAGCCACAGAAAAATGTCTGAGAGGAAGGACATATTCTAGAAGTGGAAAAGGGTAACCACCATCCACCGACCTTATTCAGATTCCTTTCCCACAATAAGAGGGAATAGTGATAGTGAACTTGAAGGTTTTACCTCTATACAACCACAACAGTATGAGGAAACAAGTGAAATCTCCACTATGAGGAGAGGACGAAGAAAAGAGTCCCAAATCCTCAACAGGGACTACCCAAAAATACGATCTCTCTGATAAAGAATTCCGAGATGCAATGCTGAGGATGTTCAAGGAATTCAAAGAATCAATGGAGCAGAATTCCAGAAAATTAAAGGAAGAAATGAGAGAAACAGTAGAATGGAGAGTCGAGAAAATACAGGAAGAAATGTGAGCAGAAATAAGAAAGCTACTAAAAGAAGTGTCATAAGAAAGAATTCGGTAGAGGAAATTAAAAACTCAGTGGGTCCCCTCAGCAGTAGAATGACTACAGCTGAAGACAGAACTAGTGAGCTTGAAGATGAGCAACAGAAATCAAACAGAGAACAACAAAAAATGAAAAAAGATCTAAAAATTGCTCTAAGGTGAATCAGAGAACTAGGGGATGACTCCAAGAGGAACAACATTAGAATGATTAGAGTACCAGAAGGACAGGGAGACCACTCAAATGTAAAAGCCACAATTAAAGAAATCATTGCTTGAAAATTTCCCAGAGTTAGAGAATGCAGGCACCCAGATCCAATGACCCAGAAGGGTGACATCTAAAAGAGATCCTAATAAAAACACTCCAAGCCATATCATGGTCAGAATGATGGTGCCATGGGTAGAGACACAATACTGCAAGCAGCAAGGTCAAAGAAGGAAATCACATACAAAGGAGCACCTGTTAGATTCACAGCAGACCTATAAGAGAAAACCGTCCAAGCCCAAAGACAATGATGGGATATAGTGAAAAAGTATTACTCCTGTCTCTGTACTCAGAAATTACTGCTGGCGGTGGTAAGGAGACTATGTGGGATGCTGGGAATCGAACCTGGGTCAGCTGCATGCAATAATTGAAGATCTGTTATCAAATAAATGCCACCACCATTTTTGCTTATATACAATTACTCAAATAGTAAAATAGCTAAATAGTAAAATTTATTTAGTAGTAATAGTAAATAGTAGTAATAGTATTACTAGCATTACTAGTATAGTATAGTATACTAGTATAGTATACTAGTATTACTAGTAAATAGTAGTAATAGTAAAATAGCTAAATAGTAAAATTTATTGCTGCAAAGTGAAGAATGTGAATTTATGAATTTTATCTTTAACTCCTCAGAAACATTGAAAAAGCATAATAAATTGAATATCAAGAGTAGTCTCTGACCTCACAGATAATATGAGCAAACACAGTAAAGCTTTTATTAATATCCACCATAGATTACACCTTTCTAATAAATATCTGAATTCTTTGACTTTCAGTAAGAATCTAATAAAAATTAAGATCAAGAACTTGGACCTCTATGATTTATAGTGAAATCCAGACTTCAAGGTACGTCTATGGAGGAAGAGTATAATAGGGCTGAAGCAGTCTGCACAGATCAAGCACAAACTAATGAACAAAATAAGGTCTCCTGAAGCTTAAACACATTAGATATGCAGAAATAGTACACTCCTTCACAATAGACTGAAACAGAAATACTAGAAATAGATGATATTAAAAAGCTAAATGTATGAACACGATGGCCCACTCAATATCTCTATTGCAAACCACGACACCCAAAAGGATAGAGAACAAAAGGGAACGCCCTGCAGCTGAGGCAGGGTGGGGTGGTGGGAGGTATGCTGGGAACATTGGTGGGGAAGAATGGGCACTGGTGGAGGGATGGGTAAACATCATTGTAGGACTGTAATGCAAACACAAACATTCGTAAGTTTGTAACTGTACCCCACAGTGATTCACTAATAAAAATAAGTAAATAAATAAATTAAAAATAATGAGAAAAATAAAAGTCAGGAAATGTTGATTTCAGATATTCTGTTCTGGGTAGGAAGAATAATTAACATTGCATTTCATAGATTGGTTGCTAATAAATGAGTAAACTTAAAAAATAGTTAACTGTAGAGTGAAACTGACATTTAGCCATTAGAAACACACAAGGCAAGTGCTTTACCTCTTGTACTATTATTATCTAGTTCATATGGTTCCTTAAAAATTCATGTTACTTGCAGTAATATTCTGTCCTATTCACTATTTTTATCTCCCCACATTACTAAACATTTTGCTCTAATAAATAATTAGATCTAGCCACTCTTACCTACATTCTGATCATCCTAAATGCCAAGTTTGTTGTCTTTGATGTTTGATCTTTTTTTTTGCTCTATCTTTGCATATGGTTTCACTATTGTCATTAACATCTCAGGGTAAAATGACCTCTTCATAGATATCCTCCATGATCATCATTTTGTAGGTCATTTGTATCATCACATTGTTTTCTTCATAACTCATCAGACAACATTTTATATATTTCTGTTCTTACTGTATCTTTTATTATAATGTGTGCTTTATAATAAAACAAGGTCATGCATTTAGTTCATTTTGTTGTATCATTGGTATCTTTAAAAAGTTTGGTTATGAATTGCAATTCAACATGCTTATTGAATTAATTAATATTTATATATTCACATGAATTTCACACACATAGTTTAGTATCTATCTATTTGAATACATTAATGAAAGGATGAATCATTGAATGTATTAAGAACTGATTGAAGACTTACCTGAATTTCATCTTATTCTCTATTTACATATTTATCCTAACCCTGAAGATGAGAAACCATGCCGAGCTATAGAGGTGAGTCACAGTCACAGTCACAGTCCTCCCATTGTTCATCAATTTGCTTGAGCGGGCCCAGTAATGTCTCCATCATGAGACTTCTTGTTACTGTTTTGACATATCGAGTACGTCACAGGTAGCTTGCCAGGCTCTGCTGTGTGGGCGAGATACTCTCGGTAGCTCGCCAGGCTCTCGGAGAGGGGCAGAGGAATCGAACTTGGGTCGGCCATGTTGACTGTGTGCAAGGCAAAAGCCCTACCACTGTGCTATCGCTCCAGCCCTTTAGAGGTGAGAAGCTTGTGATTTGAAGTTAAGGAAAAATTTTAGCTGGGCTTAGGGGATGCCAGAGGTGGAGCCCAGGCTGCCACATGCAAGGAAAGAGTCATACCTGCTGTAGCATTGATCTGGCTAGACAATTTATTTTTTAAACATATTTTTAAAAATTAAAAATTTTGGAGCAACACTTGATGATGCTTCGGGTTTAATCCTGAGTCTGTATGCCATACAGGATTGATCTAGGCAGTGTTCAGGGAACCCTATGGGGCAAATTTAACAGTTTATTGGCGATGAATTCCTTAACTGTTAATCTGAAAAATTCGTTATCTCTCCTTAGATTCTAAATGAACACATAGCTAAAGTTGGAGTAATAGTACAGCAGGTAGGGCATTTGCTTTGCACATGGCTGACCGGGGTTCAATCCCAGGCACCCATATGGCATCCCCGGAACCCACAGGAGTGACTCCTGAGGATGAAGCAAGGAGTAAGTCCTGAGCATCGTCAGGTGTGACTCAAAAGCAAACAAACAAACAAACAAAAACCACTTAGCTCTGTATAGTGCTTTTGACCAAGTTCTTTTTTATTCGATGCAAGATAGATATATTGTATTATTCCCTTCTAGTCTGTATAAAGTTTCAGTTGAGAAATTTGTGCTCATCTTATGGGGTTTCTTTATATATGACTCCTTGGTTTTTATTTGCTGCTTCTAGGACCCTATCTCCTTGACTTTTGCCATTTAAAGTGTGATGTATCTTGTGTGTTTGGGATTATTTCTTTTGGAACAATTTTTGCTTCCTGAACATGCATATCCTTCTCTTTCGCAGTTTGGAAAGCTCTTCGTTGTTCTTCAAGTGGTAAATTATCCTCTTTCTCACTTTTCCTTCTCTCATGATGCCAATACTTGACACTATCCAATAAATCTTGAATATTTTTTTAATTTAAAAATTATTCTTTATGTTATTTTCTTTTTATCACATCAGATGGGTAATGTGCCAAGTGCATAACAAGATTTAAGGGAGGTACATGTCACACAAGTGTGAAAACACCCAAACATCATGCTTATGAAACAGAAAAGGATCCACTGTTCTCTTTCGATGTTTCATCAACCATTTCCTTGAGTTCATTGATTTGATCTTAAGTTCCTGCATTCAGTTTGTTAGCCTTATATTTTTTAACCCTACATACCTGTGCTCGGGACTTACACCCAGCCCTGTGCTCACAAATCACTTCCACTGGTGCCTGGGGGAGGACTATAAGCCATACTGTGGGAAAATTCTGACTTTTTCCTTTTCTTTCTCCTTGGTTCTGAATTTTTTTCTTTGAAGTCTTCATCAGGGTCTTTAGAAAATAATTGTGCTAGGAATTCTCAGGGCTTTGTCTTCATCTATTAGTGCAGGTGGGTTTATCTGTTTATTTTTATGTTTGGTGCCATCAAGATCTGTATTCCTAGGCAGAAATCAGGGTTTTACAATCATGTATTCTCTTTAATGATTGTGGGTCAAGGTGCATGGCCTGGATAACTGTTGACCATTAGTAGCCATCTGCAACAACTAGATGGATGAAGTTGTGCCAGTTCCTATAGATGTTCATGGTTTACACTCATGGGTGCCTGGTCTCTGACAGGGTGCTGGAGTGGAGAACGCCCAGTGAGGACTCACAGTCATGCATGCACAATAGCTGCTGTGAAGTTAAGTTGATCTACAAAACTCCTGGGAGATCTGCATTTTCTAGCTCTGGAAGAAATTGTAGTCTGAGGACAAATGGACCTGAATAGCATTCTAAGATGCAAAATTGTGAGCATTTGTCAAAGCCTGTGGTACCAATTGTGAACAGTCTGTAACTGCAACTAAAGGTTGAAAATGAAATCTGGGTAGACCTGGGTAGTAACCAGTGGTTGCTGACAAGTATCTGGAGGTAACTGTGCATCAATTTCAAAGAACCTGAATATTGATTTTAAACACCTGCCACTTTGCACTGTGTTTGGACAGGTCTGGAGGCAGAATGGGAGTTCTGAGTTATAAATATCTAGTGGCAGCTCTAACGTTTATAAGTCTAAACATTATAGTGGAGGAAACCAGTGGTATAGCAATTGTCTGGAGGAACCAGTATACAAAGTTTCAGTGGGCCTTTACAGAAGACACCAGGGGCATGAGCTAATGATTTGCTGCACCTCTGGACTTGGTTTGAACAGATCTTAAGGGTGACCAAGGGTGTAAAGTCACTTATGACCAGTGACAGCTAGGGACATTTGATTTGTTTTTAAATAAACCTGTTTAAGAATGAGAGTATTGTGTTGAGGTATATTTTCTGTTTTTAATTTTTTTTATCTTTTATTTCTTTTTATTTTATAGAATACTTCATAATATTTGATTACATTTAATATTCAAACACTAATCCCACCACCATTACCTTCCCACCACCAGTTTCAGATGTTTCCATTCCAAACCCCAATCCCTGCCCCACAGCAGAACCGAAATAATATATTTTGTATTGTTTTTATGAAAAAACATTAAAAATGTTACAAATAAGTATCCTTAGAGGAAAGAGTGGGAAAATTGTTGTATTTCACCCAGCTGGCCATTAAGCCCTTCTATAAGTCTGTAAAGAAAATACTTCCCTCTAAGATTGGTTGTCTCCTACTTTGACCACTATCAAATGTGGTGCAGTACTCTTAGAGTATGGGTAGGGTGTGTGGTATGGAGTGTTGTACAGCACCACACCATGTGGCTGCAAGGTCCAGGAACAGGTTCATTCTTGGGTGAGGCCCGAGTGTATGGAGAGTGACCAGGAGCAGGGTGATGGTGAATTGTCAAGGCATTTGGCTGCCAGAGCTGGGTCCCTTCGGGTGGAGAGGATTCTCACCCCCTCTGGTGAGCCCCTAGTGAAACAGCCTGGCACGTGGTCCAGTGGCATGGTTATGGGGAGCGTCATGTTATTTCCCCTTCTAGGAGAGAAGGACATGCTATCTGGTTGGCGACCGATGACGAGATTATCTGGTGCCAGCTACAGGTGGCTTATGGGTGTGACTGGTGAATTTGTTTCATGTTGATTTTCATGAAAATGCTCCTGAATTATTATAGTTTGTATGCAAAGCAGAATTTTATTGTTTCTCGATCCAATAAAAATTATAATATTCACTTAAGTACCAAAAGATCAGTCAAGAAAAGGATGAAACACTCATTTAAATGTAAGATGACATGATAAGTAATGATTCCAAACTCATCATTTAGAATGTTGGGGTGGGGGGGTGGTAGGTGAGGAAGAAGTATGTTTTTCCGAACTCAAATGGAAAATCAAGATAAAAGTTTGGCAGAGCTCTATTTTGACTAAATAATATCTTGACAATCTTATAATTATGAGTCAGAGTATCAAAATAACATACTTTTATTTGATGTGTTCCCTTTGGAGAATAAATTTATAATATAAAATTGATTATTATATTCCATTAAGAACTTTTATGAGGGTTACTGCTCTTCTTCTGGGATGGAGAGAGAATGTTAATTTTTAAAATGACAACTAATTTTATATATGTTTAATATCTATTTTCTCTTTGAAAATCTCTGCCATAATATTTTCCTTTTCTAATATGCTTCTCTTACTTTCCCCACCCACATGCACACACACTTTATAGTCTACCCTTCAAGTTTATATATTATAAGGAGATTTGTGAAACGCAAATGAACAATTGTCTGGCTGTTAATTCAAGGGAGATCTTCAATTTTTCCCGACTTTATACATAATCATATTTTCTGATTAAAGAATGAATTTATCATCTTGGTTGCTTCTAAATCTTACACCACTTTACATCCAGATTTGTTGCTGGCTCTGCATGGTCCTTGGACTGAGAATGGTTTGCCTTCTAATTCCAGATATTGATTGACCATGTGTTACTTTGGGAGCAAATGCTGACTTGTTTTCCTAGGAGGATAATTAGAAAATTACCTGATTTCCTTTCCAGAAAGATTTGGCGAGTAGAGAATTACAAAGTGCTTTGCATTAGAAGTGTTGAGCGTTATTTTAAGTGTCTTGATTTTTCTTGGCATTGCAGTTCTCATTTGCAAACTGTTTTATGGAAATATTTTAACCTAGAAATTTGTGATTTTGCTTTGATCAATTCAAACTGTGCATTCAAAGAATTTTAAACAAAAGAGTTCTAGAATTACATAAATACCCTCATGATCTTGACAATGTGCCCATAAATGAGGATACTAGAACACTCCATACCTTATTTTCCAGATAGATTCACTGTAATGACTGCAATTTAGTCAAGCTGAGTTCTTGCCTACTTACTTTTAGACAATCTCCTACTTGGATCATTACTGAGAAAGGCAGAAAACAGTGGTATGAGTATCAGCTTGGACTCAGCACTGTGAAGGAAGTCTCCACATTGCTGGCAGTGTGAGTCCAACACAACCAGGGATGTTTCAGTATTGGAAACCACTTTAAGTAAATAAATAAATAAAATTTTAAAAAAATAGGAAGCAACTAACACATCATTTGTCACCATCCAAAGAACCCAAGGCAGAGGTCTGTTTGGCCAGTCACATTTTAAAACGGAAATGTGAGTTCCAGTCGCATTTGGTTTCCTGACAGTTCAGATGGTGTAAGTTCCTAGAGACCTGACGCTGCATTGCTTGCTCTGGCTCACTGCATCTTTCTGGTAAATCGTCACAGTCATTCTCTCATGATTTAAGGTTTCCAAGCACACTGAGAGTTCACTTCTGTAAGACATTGAACAACATCAGTATCCAAGAAACAGAAATAATTCTAAAGAAGATAGCAGCTCACCGTCTTTTAAAAAACATTCAAGGGACTGAAGCGATAGCACAGCAGGTAGTGCGTTTGCCTTGCACACTTCCGACCCAGGTTCTATTCCCAGCATCCTATATGGTCCCATGAGCACCGCCAGGAGTAATTTCTGAGTGCAGAGCCAGGAGTAACCCCTGAGCATCGCCAGGTGTGACCAAAAAGCAAAAAATAAAATAAATAAAAAAAAAACAAATACGCATGTGTGCACATCCGTACACACCCACACAAAGCTAGAAAACCTTTATATGTCAATTTAATGTAGGTGGTAGCTGTCAGTATACTTTGCTAACCCACTGTATATAACACAGTTTTATATACACTACACCCTGCTCTGGGCATGGGGGAGTGAGTTCCTGCCACAACCACCTGAGTGTTGGGAATTAGGGGTGCTCTCCCTTCCCCGTGACTACCACCACGGACTTGGGAACGGGGAGCTCTCTCAGTTTTCTCGCCGTCACCGGAAGAGAAGCAAAGCCAACTCAACTTGAAACTCACTAAAATTTGGTAGCACCTGAAACTGACCCCTCCTTGATGGTTTCCATATTTCTTTGCTTCCCATCATTGCCTCATCACACCTTATAAAAGACTGCAATGACTAAGCTTTTTACTTACCTACTTATCATATATCTCTTTATCCATCACTATCATTCATCTGCCATATGTATTATATACAATTAATGTGTATTTATGAGCACTGATATCTATATCCTACATATAATTGTATATTTATAGAATAGAAATGAAATTATAGTGTAAATAACATACATATAAATATAAAACCAGAAAAAATTCTTTTAATAAAATTATAAAATTATCAAATACTCAGTAAAAAGGTAAAGGTAAAGGCCCTCCCGTTGATCATTGATTTGTTCGAGCGGGCCCAGTAACATCTCCATTGGAGACTTTGTTGTTACTGTGTCTCAGTAATCTATGAAAATAATAAATTGCTATAAAACTCTTTTAAGTAAAGCAGATTTTATTTGGAGGCTTTTTTGAGCAAAGGGAAGGAGGAAGAGAAAGCGAGAGAGGATAAAATGTTCAAGAGAAAATGTGGGCTTCTTCAAAGGCAGAGAGAGTCCAGTACACATCCTAGTATTTAGTTAATATGTTTATAACTAGTTTGTCTCACACTTTATTCTAAAAATGCTATATGTTCTATAATATGTTCTTGATATCTCTGTGATGTATCATTAAGTCTTATGGAAAAAAAAACTCCATGCTCTAATCTCCACAAATCTTAGCTATGTCTGATATTAATTAAAACGTGTA